ACTCACCCACACAGACACGCACTCACACACACAGACACAGACATACACACAGACACACAGACACAGACACAGACACACACAACACACACACACACACACACACACACACACAGACACAGACACACAGACACACAGACACAGACACACACACCACAGCCATTAAACCGTGCACCCGCTGTCATTTATTGCGTTTTCTCTGGCGTTGTTGTTTCAGGACTGTCACCACTGATGTACTGTGTAAAGGTTGTGTGTAATTCATGGAAGTGTTTATTTAATGATGAAGCATTAGAAATTAGTTCAGTAAAGTTTCATCAACTCTTGAAATGTCTCCATCAGCTGAAAACTGACTTGGCCTCATGTCAAGATGACAAAATGTAGTGAACAGGCCTGTAATTATAAGCCATTAAACCACTTTGAACGGGCTGCTGTTTTATTTTAATATTATTAATGTATTATTATAGTTTGTATTATTTTGAATTCGTTTTATTTTCCCTTTAATTTTAATGTATTTTAATTGTTTTTAATATTCCTATTTATCTTTAATTTAATTTATTTTAAGTAGCAATTTTAGTACTTACGTACTAAGTACAACTACTTATTTTTTTGTCAGTTAGTTGCCAATGCAACTTTTCCAATTTCCATTTAAGCTTTTTTTTCTCTATAATATTTATATTTTTCAGCTTTATTTAAATTAATGAACACTACATAAGTGTAGTGTCATAAGTATGATGGCCTATCTTCAGAACCTTTCCCGATCCGAAACGTGGTGTGAAGCAAGGTTGTGTCCTCGCCCCGACAATCTTCGGCATCTTCTTCTCCCTGCTGCTGCGCCACACCTTCAGTCAGTCAGAAGATGGTGTCTTCATTCGCACTAGGAGCGATGGCAACCTTTTCAACCTTGCACGTCTGCGCGCAAAGACCAAGGTGCGCAGGGTCCTGATTAGGGAGATGCTGTTTGCTGATGACGCCGCCCTGACTGCCCATACCGAGGAAGCACTACAGCGTCTCATCAGCAGCTTCGCTCGCACTTCTGATGAGTTTGGGCTGACCATCAGCCTAAAGAAAACAAACGTCATGGGCCAGGATGTCAGCAGCACTCCCTGCATCTCCATCGGCGATCACACCCTCGAGGTAGTGGAGGACTTTACATATCTTGGCTCCACCATCTCCAGCAACCTCTCTTTGGACAACGAGCTGAACACCAGAATCGGCAAGGCATCAATAGCGATGGCCCGCCTGACCAAACGAGTGTGGAACAATATCATGCTCACCACCAACAACAAGATGAAAGTTTTCCAGGCCAATGTCCTCGGCACTCTTCTCTACGGCAGCGAGATGTGGACTATGTACACCTGGCAAGAACGCAGACTTAACTCTTTCCATCTGCGCTGCCTGAGGAGGATCCTGGGCATCACCTGGCAGGACCGTGTGCCAAACACTGAAGTGCTGGCCCAGGCAAAAACATTCAGCATGCACGCACTCCTTTCACAAAGACGCCTACGCTGGCTCGGCCATGTCTGCCGAATGCAGGATGGCCGGATTCCTAAGGACATCATGTATGGCGAGCTCGCCTCCGGCACAGGCAGTGCAATTCCACAACAGACTGACCCGGGCGCAGATACTCCATTGTCTCTCGAGACAGAAGGATGCCGATTGATATTAGGAGCGATGGCAACCTTTTCAACCTTGCACGTCTGCGCGCAAAGACCAAGGTGCGCAGGGTCCTGATTAGGGAGATGCTGTTTGCTGATGACGCCGCCCTGACTGCCCATACCGAGGAAGCACTACAGCGTCTCATCAGCAGCTTCGCTCGCACTTCTGATGAGTTTGGGATGACGATCAGTCTAAAGAAAACAAACGTCATGGGCCAGGATGTCAGCAGCACTCCCTGCATCTCCATCGGCGATCACACCCTCGAGGTAGTGGAGGACTTTACATATCTTGGCTCCACCATCTCCAGCAACCTCTCTTTGGACAACGAGCTGAACAACAGAATCGGCAAGGCGTCAATAGCGATGGCCCGCCTGACCAAACGAGTGTGGAACAATATCATGCTCACCACCAACAACAAGATGAAAGTTTTCCAGGCCAATGTCCTCGGCACTCTTCTCTACGGCAGCGAGACGTGGACTATGTACACCTGGCAAGAACGCAGACTTAACTCTTTCCATCTGCGCTGCCTGAGAAGGATCCTTGGAATCACCTGGCAGGACCGTGTCCCAAACACTGAAGTGCTGGCCCAGGCAAAAACATTCAGCATGCACGCACTCCTTTCACAAAGACGCCTACGCTGGCTCGGCCATGTCTGCCGAATGCAGGATGGCCGGATTCCTAAGGACATCATGTATGGCGAGCTCGCCTCCGGCACCAGACCAACAGGCAGACCAGTGCTCCGGTATAAAGACACCTGCAAGCGTGACCTGAAAGCCAGAAGCCTGAATCCTGCAGACTTGGAAGCTGCTGCCGCAGACCGTGTCGGCTGGCGGCTCGCCGTAAGGACCAGCACAAAGCCGAGCGAGGGAAAGAGAGAGGACCAGTGGGAGGAGAAAAGGCAGCGCAGACGGCAGAGAGGAGAGTCAGTGCCCACAGAAGCAGTCTCAGGCTTCACCTGTAGTAACTGCAACAGACTCTGCCGCTCTCGTATTGGACTGTTTAGCCACAGCAGGCACTGCAATTCCACAACAGACTGACCCGGGCGCAGATACTCCATTGTCTCTCGAGACAGAAGGATGCCGATTGATATATTGCCAAGAAATCTTTAACACTTTATCAAAGTTACTTATACATGTTACTATATTTATATGTTTACCAAAGTGTAGGTATCAAAGTCATTCAAATTTACATGTTTGCATTACCACAGTTCAGGTAACACTGTATCAAAGTTTATAGTCAAGTTCACAATACGACATTGCAGATAATAACACTATAGTATCAAAGTTATTTATATTTACGTTTACATCATTTACATTTGTAAAATGCTAATTTATCCATTCACAATTTCTATACTAAATATTATTTTAATTAATATATTGTGCTGTTCTATTGTGTTGTGAAGAGTGTGAGTAGCCAAGGGTATAAAGGGTATAAATGAAGTCCGTGTTCTAGTGTTTGCTCTTCAATCCGTTGCTTGTATTAAGAGCGTTGTGCTGAAAAGGAGTAGATATTCTACTGGAATAAGGTGGGTAATAGCCACTGATCTCTGTAATGTTCTCTATTATAGATCAGTGGTAATAGACCCTTTAGCACAATAGGACACACAACAATGTTTGGCGAAACTTCTGTTTTCGACAGTTAATATTTAAACTTTCAGAAAGCAATAACTAGAATGAGATGAGATGAGAAAATTCCCAGTTCCACGAGTTCTTACGGGGACGTGAATGCTTTTTACAAATTGGAATCGTAATCGCGGTAATTATGATATGGCGTAAACGCACTTTAACTTCTTGTTTATTGAACTGTTGTATAAAAGCAACATAAAAATAATGTATGGACCAGAGAAAAATCCCTGAATTACAGTGGCCCCAAAAAGTAGAATGTCTTGGCCTCATTAAAAATGTATACATGTATCTATGACAAGTGGTATTTATTTAAATATAGCACAAGCACACATTTTCATCAAAATATTTAACATGTTTCTTAGGTTTCAAAATATGAAGCTATAGGAATTTTATTCCAAATGAAGACAAAACTTGACACGCTGGTTGTCAGACTCTGTAGAACATGTTC